TAAATTGTATCACAATTTTCTCTGCCAAACGAACATAAATAGAAATGAGTACTTGACCAAATTCTGTAACTTTTTTCTTGCCCACAGTTGCCCTATTTCTGCTGTTCCACCCCCCGAGATTGTTGTTTTAGAATATTATAAAATTCATGCTGTAGTTCATTCTTATTTCCTCTCCTTCTGCCTTGTCTACCAGTATGCTGAGATTACAGACATGCATCACCACATCCAACTTCTGTGTCTGTCCGTTCCCCCCGCCCCCATACAAGCAGGGAGTAAAGTAGTGTTTCCTAAGTGAAGTAGGGCATTTTTGTGTCTGCTTTCCATTGTTGCCTACAGAACTGCATGCTTTATCTTCAGCTTTGTGGCCTTTCACGGGTCTAGTCTTTCTTTGTTATCCCATCAATAGTAAAAGAAACCAAAGTAAACTTTCTTTCTTGCCCAAATCTGTTTGGACCTCTTTGCCTAATTTTAATTTTACACCAAAACTGTTCTCCTGTTTTCATGTATCTTAGAAAATTTGATAGTATTTGGTCTTCTTTCTTTTCACTTCTTTTGAAGTAGCTGATAGGAAACAAAGCAGAAAGTAAGAATTTGTGGTAAAGAAAGGAAAAATTGTTGGCTGCAGTCTAATAGTCATGAATGTACCAAGTTTTATTTGGTACTAAAAGAAGCATACCAGTTGACCAAAAGAGAATGCTGGAAACAGAAAGAGAAAAATATATCTGTGTATGAAAAGGCCTACAGAGAGAGGAGTGTGTTTGGAGATCAAAGAGCAAATCAGTGTCAAGAGGATATGAGAGGGTGAGAAGACCTGGGTCCTGCTGTGTAGCCCACACTGCTGGGAACACTGGGCTGGCCACCACCTCTGTTTTAGGTGATGTTATCTTCATTATTTAGGCTGGTTATCTCTTGATTTTATCTGTTTGTTTGTTTATGTGTATGAGTGCCTACATGTGTGTAATTGCACCCATGTCATGTAATTCCTGCAGAAGCCAGAAGAGGGTATTAGATCCCCTAGAACTGGAGTTATGGATGATTGTTAGCCACCATGTGGGTGCTGGGAATTGAACCCAGGTCCTTTGCAAGAGCAACTAGAGCTCTTAACCACTCAATCATCTCTCTATCTTGTATCTCTTAATTTTTGAGCATATGCGTCCTAGTGTGTATTTATTGCTTATATGTACAGACTTAGGTGTTGGCATGTGGTATAAACTATTAAAAAGAATAGAAAAGTAAAAAGGATGAGAGAGAGGAGAGAAGTATTACTATTTTCATCCCTGATTGAATATGTGTTAAAACTTCTCAATACTGAACACTCCTAAAGAGTAGGTCATCAAACAAGGTCAGTGGAGATAATAGAAGGAAATCTGGAGGCTGCATTGACAGGACTTGGAATTGGTTAAATAATAAGGGTAAAAAGGGAGGAAGGAGTGTGGCAGGCCTGTATTTCTATGAATAGATGATGCTGATTGAGAAATTAACAGATATTCTAGCAATAAACTAAGCATGTTGTCACTCTGTAGAATGTATTGTTTTCTCTAAGGATATGCTTAATGCCTTTAAGTGACAAAGGGCGGGAAGAGCTGGAAGGTGATTTGATGGATAGGCCTTAATCTGTGCTTAGGAAGAAGGAATAGGGAAAATGAACGTGGAGGCCTCGCTTAGTCTTGCTTTTAGAACAGTTAGGATATAATATGGTAAATTATAGGACTCAGCTTCTAGTTGACTTCTAAAGTATGCTTAGCTAGAAGCAGTCTTTACTTCCTTAGCTAAAAGTAAAGGACTAACAAAACATAAGGTGGACTGAGGGGCATAAGACTATTACCTCTGAAGTAAAGTAAATGATCTACAATTTATCTACCATTAACCATCATTTTCATACTTTAAAAAGAGATAAAGCATATTTGAGGCCATAAATTGAAGGAGATTATCTCTAGTAGCACAGGAAAGGGAAAGTCCAACTCATACTCAATTTTGCCTGACGCAGTAAGAAATTATCTAGATGATGGCGTACTTTTTCTCATATGTGGCTGTAGCTATGTGGTGCTTCTTTCATTAAGCATTATACATATTTTAAAGGGTGGATTTAAAGTGTTCATTGCTTTGAATAATTTACCGTGTGTAATTCTCATGTCTGAACACGGTGCCTTGCAATGTAGGTTTGTTTTTTTTTTTTTTTAATGCAGGTAACTGGGTCATTGCAATGCCTGCCTCCGAGTCCTCCCTTCTATTCCAGATACTCAGGTTTAACACAGTTGCACATGCCTCTGCTTTCGCTCCTTCTCAGTCATGAAGGGCCTTATTAAAATGGTCAGAAATGTGAGCACCATTCCTTCAAATGCTGACTGTGGGTCCACTTTATCATTCAGCACCCAGCTTTTCCAGAAGGCAAATCCAATCCAAACCAGTTTTAGAGCAAACACTGTCCCTTTTAATCCTCAGAGAAGCAAAATGCTGAGATGGGCAAAATCCCCCTTACAGATTACCTTGAGATGACTAATTGTTAATAATAGAAACCTCTAATGTTAAAAAAACACAAGTGCTAAAGATCTGTTGTAGTGATTGCATGTATTAATAAAATGCAGTAATGTGGATCAAAGCTAAATAGCCATCATTTTCCACTACTGATTAACTCCCTCAAAACCATTACATTTCCTTGCCCCAAGAAAATTAAATGGTAAAGAATAGTGAAGGGAAGGGACAAAGACTGTTTAACACATTGCATAAGGACAAAGAACATCTGCAAGAAGACTATTTTAAGGAAAAAAAATTGATGGAGGTAATTTTACTTGTAGAAATACAATACAGAGGTTAAATTTTGCATCCATGCTACATTTTAATCTGTTTAGATCTGTTTTCTTTATAGCTCACCCAGATTTCTCGTCAGCCCTTAGGCTATAGTAGAGCCAACTTTTTAAAAGTGTCTTTTCATAGGTAAATGGCTAGTATTAAAACTGATTATTACTGAATTTACCTGTACAATCAGTCTTCTGTTCCCTAGTTTACCTTCTCAGGTTGAGTAAAGAAAGAGTTAATAGTATCAGCATTAAGCAGGAAGTACTGTTAGCCTTATGCACATGGTGGAATGAATAATTTAGTATCTTCGGGAAATGCAAACTGCAGTAGAATTCAAGCAACCCTATCAGAAAGTAGATCAATATTTTACTTGATAATAGAAGTAAAAGTCACTGGAAAGAAGATGCTTAAAAATGCCAAGTGCAAGAATGTTGTTTATGGTTTAAATTGTTAGAAAGGTTGGAATTCTTGGTTGGAAATGTTTTGTCTTCTGCAGTTATAATGACGCTCCTGCATTCTGTCCTGTATTCTGACAGTTGTCAGGTGACTTTCTGCTGACATGATTACTAATGGGATGTGGCAGTTTCTTTGCTGTCAGAAACGAAATAATTTCTCAGGTTTTTCTTGTAAGTTTTTTCTTTTAATTGTCCTTATGTGTTTTCTCCTTTAATATGGATTAAAGGAGCTAAAAGGTAAAACTTGAAAACCAGGCATGTTTACTAATAAAACCTTTGTAGAAGTAGCCTTTTATAAGCATCGATAAGTTTTTTTTAAGAAGTTCAAATTTAAAATGTGATTGTTGACACTTCTAAATTATTTCTCCTTTAACTTGATCTCATTAGCTTAGACTTTTTATACATGTGCCTGTGATCTTTCTGCATCATTATGTTACTACTGTAAATATTGTGCATGCAACTTTAATAATAGATCGGGTGGTTGGAAGTTCTTAGCACAGGTGCATTAATTGATATTATTTTTTTGATATTTGCAAGTATCTGCTATGTGTAATATTTTTAAATAAGACTTAATTGGATTATGTTGTCTGTTTCTAAAATGTTGAACATTGTATTTAAGACTACTACCACATAACCATTCTTTAAATATAAGTTGGTTTGGTTCTGATTTTACTGCAACTTTTTTACCTAGCAGAAGTTGTATTCTTTAAAAAATATACTTTTAGGTAAATCTAAACCATTGTCTTGTTTGCCTGTGTTCTTAAGCCAGTATGTATTTTAACTGTTTCTTGGTTTGTACCTGTAAGAAAAGAACCTTTTCCTTGCTGAAAAGAGTTCTGTAAAATTTCATAGGAAATTATTTGATGTAAAGTTTTGCATGTTATTATAGTAAGAAAATATTTTTGGTTGCTTTTTTCATCCCACTGTTGGGTTTCACCTTGATTTTGGATAAGGCATTTCTCTTTTCAGAAATTGTGATCTTCTCTTTGAGTTTTTCCTCCTAAAAAGAATTTATGAATTTACCTCATTGAAAAACTGAATTTTAATGTAAATTTTAAAGTTAAATGGCTGGCTGATACAGCCATAGATTTTTAATAATATATTTTCTCAAATATGTTTGCATATTTAGAAAAAAACAATAAAAAGTCTCAGTAAACAATGAATAACTTTGTTTTTTAAGTGCATAGCAGTCTCTTTTATCAGTGAATATCTACTGAGACTTTTTAATTGCAGTGGGCTGTTTATAATGGCCTTCATCTTTTTCTAACCGCTGTAAATGAGCAGTCATATATATTAAATTAATCTTAAATGTTTCCTTTAATTTTTTTTCAAACACAGTTCTTCTAAATGGGAGGGTAGACATTATGACATTAAATCTATTGGCCATAGATCTTAACTTTATATACGTCATTTTCACTAACATTTAAAAAATATAGATTGCATTATTTGGATTGTATAACTCAAGAAATAATTACACTACAAACATATCATTTGATATGTGGCTTTTTCCAGGTGGTTTTTTTTTTTTTCTTCCCAGAAATAAGATTACATACAAATTATTTTTAAGAGCTTATGTTAAAGAGGATACTTTTTTATATTATTATGCTATAGAGCTTCTAGGATGAGGCTGTAGCTAGGACTATGTATAAATACATTTTGAACATTTCAAAGCACCTTTTAGTTAATGTGAAGTTCTTCAGATGGCCCCATTATCCTTTGAAACTTCTAACACCAAGGTGTCTGTTGCAGCCCAGAGCAAGGTTACTGCTACCCAGGACAGCACTAATTTGCGATGTATTTTCTGTGGTAAGCAACATTATGTTTACATTACTTTTTCAAGCTGTGGTACATACTCCTTGCACATTTCCATAAATTCTGTTCCCTTAGGCCATAGTCTGGTTTGTGATATTTGGGATATAAAGCAAGCTTCTGTTTTCATGTTGTGGTATCTGTTGTGGTTCATGTAGGTGATTTAGGTTAGCTTTTGAGTTGGCTTATTAGTGAGGATTTAATCTAGAAATAGGTTCTTAAAACTATTTTGTTCACCTCATCCAATACAAATGAGAGGGATATTTTTAAAAAATATTTTGTTTGGGATCAGACTTTTAGTTTAATTTAAAAGAAAAAGCTGTTTTCATATGATTTGAGTAATGTAAATGTGCCTTATTTGAAAGGAGCTTTTGTTTAATTTGGGTTAATTTTTAGATGTGCATGTTGTAAAAGCAGATGTAAACTTACTACTTGGTGGATATCTGACCAACATCCTCTTTTATTTGGAAGATTAAGTAGCTATGGCTAAGGAGTGAATGTAGGTTTCTAGAATGTTTTCTGACCTGCTCACTCTCATAAACCTACATGTGTGCACATACATATATTATTTGCATGGATAAACTAGGTATGTCACTTAGCCACCCCAGGTTAGAGCTAATCATATTTTTTCCTATCTGTACACAAGTACATTATCTAGTTAGATAAGTATGTATATAAATACCTATTCTTATTTGAATTCTTTTTATTGCCATTTGATTCTGAAACTTCCTATTTTGAAAATCTAATTTCAAAAAATGTCTTATTTGAAAGTCCTTCTTTTGATCCAAATATACCCTTTTGACTCATGTATACTTAACTGACCAGATTATTTTAATGTGAGAAAATCATAAGGTGATATACTACAAAAAATCGGAACAGTTCAGCTCTGCATGGGTTCTTCATGTGACTCAGAATTTTTAATGTGGTTCCTCAGTACTATTGATATTATTTCTTTGAAGAGAATCCTTTATAAGTTGATGTTCTTACTGGTTTAGACAAGCATATTAGAAATTTGGGAACTAAAAAGACAGTTCTGATGTCGTAGTCGCCTAAAGTTATATTTTGACCTGCCCCAGCTAATGGGTATAGCAGTGAGCTTAGCCTGTTCTATGACTTTTACCAATCTCTCCTTTCCCAGATTCCACAATTCAGCACTGCAGACTGCTTAATCAGTAACTTTATTTCTGATCCTCTTGCCTCTTTCTTGAGTTCTTCCAGGCCATCTTTTGAACTAGTCATGAATAGATACTGATATTTATGTTACTAGGGCTGTCTTTAATTCATTTTGAAGACCTACTCGATGTTAAAACTTTCTACTTAAAAAATTGAGATCCAATGCAGAATAATAGATTACCCAGTTTCAGAGAAAAAAATGATTCAGCCTTATTAATAAAGGTAAATTTTTTAAGTTTATAAAATAACATTAAAAAACAGCCTTGCCAGGCGTGGTGGCTCATGCCTTTAACCCCAGCACTCAGGAGGCAGAGGCAGGCGGATCTCTGTGAGTTCAAAACCAGCCTGGTCTACATAGTGAGTTCCAGGACAGGTGGGGCTACAGGGAAACCCTGTCTCAAAAACACCAAAAAAAAAAAAACCTTTAATTTGTGTACAATGTAATTACCACTTTCTTAAGTTTAAATTTGATTTCATAGCATATAATACCTACTTGTCTTTTAGTCCTGTGTTTTTAAATAGTCTGTGGCTAAGTGTAAAACAAGATTGTGAGAATTAAAATGGGGACAATAAGGGAAATGTACTTTAACCAAAACTCTAATATTGAAGGCAAGACTGAAATGCCATTCCTTCTGGAGAGTTTCAAATCAGATTGTCCATCATTTATAACTTATCAGCAACATTGCCACATTTTATTAGAAACAGTAATTTACAGACTGCCTTCTATCTTCTGAATTAGGGTCAACCATTGACTTTTACTCTAGTTCCAAAACAGGACCCTTAGTGCTGTTCTTTATGAGAGTAGAATCAGAGCAGCATCATGCAATTTCTAAGCCTTGGTTGTTTCTTCTTCTCCTTCTCCTTCTCCTTCTCCTTCTTTTCTTTTTTTTTCCTTCACAAGGAGGCTGATAACCTCCACATCATGCAGGATAAATACTGTCATTTGCCCACTGAGTTTTATGAAAATTCCTATTTTGTATTATAAGAACACAGATACTCTTTTAGGAATGTGACATGTGTGAAAAGATAGTTTACATTCCAGAAAATATAGCCACTGATAGCCTTGCCTAATCTTAGTTTCTGCTTCCTGTTGTTGTATGTGATGGTATTGATAAAACACACAAAATTTATTACCTATTAAAATGTTTGATAGGAAGAGAAAATGTGATTGTGTACCTATAGTTCATAATCAGCTAGAAGTTTTATTTAATAGTTATAGTATGTTTATAATTATATTTAAATGCACATGTAGTTCAATGTGCTATTTTTCACAACTTGACAATATTGATAAAGAAAATAAGCAGATTTAATATATGTCAAAAAGTGCCAAAGGGAGAGATTTCTTCCATCTTCCCAATTTGAAAAATGCCTAGAAGAATAAAATGGCCCATTATCACAAAGAACTGTGTAGCAAAGAATTCTAATAGCCACACCTAGATCAAAATTCACATTTTAAAAGGATCGTCTTTTAAGTTTTTATTTCCTTCTCGTGTGTCGGAAATAAACTATAGTAATTTTTTAATTAATAAGATGAGCCACAAAATATTATCCACATTAGAAACTTTTCTAAGCAGATTTGTAATGAACTTTTAAAGAGCCTAACAAAATTCAAAACCACCTCTGTAAATTACTGGGTCTTTTTTTCTTGTTCAGTTTGTTTTATGAGTTATATCAGGATTTGTTAGGGGTTTTGTTGTTGTTACTTTTTGTTTTGTTGAGAGGATTTAGGTATATATAGCCACAGCTGACCCTGAACTCAGAACTCTGCCGTTACCTCCCAAATGCTGCGGCTAGCATGGACCGCCATGCTTGGCCCCAGACTGTTTAATTTAAAAAACCAAACATACAAAAGCTGTTTAATAAGATCAATAAGCCTAGCATGGTAGCACATGCCTGTAGTCCCAACACTTGGGAGGCAGAGGCAGGTGGCTCTCTGTGAGTTCAAGGCCAGCTTGGTCTACATAGTGAGTTCCAGGCCAGCTGGGACTACAGGGAGACCCTGTTTCAAAAAGACCCCCCTTAAAAAAAAAAATTAAGATTGAGTTGAAATTTTGACATGTGTCTTGAATTTGTAAGTTTCCACAGAAACCAATGTAATTCATTAATACTTGCCGTTGAAATATAATGCTTGTTCTAGATGTGAGCAAGACAATTAGATTTGTCAGCTAGTTGAATTTGCTGCTCCACTATTCATACAGAGAGTTTCACTCATATACTCAAACACTATTTTTAAAAGTAAGTAAATCAGCTGGGCGTGGTGGCGCACGCCTTTAATCCCAGCACTCGGGAGGCAGAGGCAGGTGAATCTCTGTGAGTTCAAGGCCAGCCTAGTCTACACAGTGAGTTCCAGGACAGCTGGGGCTACAGGGAGACCCTGTCTCAAAGAAAAAAAAAAAAAGTAAACTGTGATGATCTTTTTTTTTCCCTCATGATGATCTTGTAAGTGGGCTATTCTACTTTGCCTTCAATTGCTGTGATAAAACACTCTGACTGATACCAACTTGGGGAGGAAAGGGTTTATTTGCCTTACATCTCCCACATCACAGTTCATCAGGGAGCCCAAGGTAGGCACTCAGGGCAGGAACCTGGAGGCAGGAGCTAGAGCACAGACCGTGGAAAAACACTGCTTACTGGCTTGCTCCCCTGGCCCATGCTCAGCCTGCTTTCTTATACAACACAGAACAACCTGCCCAGGTGTGGCACTACCCACAGTGGGCTGGACCCTCCCGCATCACTCAAAAATCAAGAAAATACCCCACAGACATGGCCACAGGCCAGTTTAATGGAGGCAATTTCCCAATTGAGGCTCCTTCTACTGAGGTTGACAACTAAAGCTATCTAGCAAATGGGCTTTGCCAAGTGCTTGCATTTTATAGTTATAGCTTTGGATATGGAAAGTATACCAACCCCTATTTTATACTTTCCTAAACTTACCGCCCCGCCTTGTATGCCCCTACCCTTCTTTCTAGAAGGTATCTTTTCCCTGTAAGATTGTAAACATTGGTAAATAGCCAGATCATCATTGTGCTAGTTTTCCAAGCAAAACATTCTATCTCCTTACTAGAAAACAGTTATACTTTCATTTACATAAACATTTATGTGTGTATTTAACTTTGGTTTTAAAAGTGTTTTTTTGTTTTTTGTTATTGATTATGTGAAACTCATTTTGTATTTCCTTCATTTGGTTCTCAGTATAGCAGAACAAAGAAATCTATTGAGATAGATCAGTGCAGTCATGTTATTTATCGTTAGAGAACAAATTAAATGATTAAAAACATTGGTAAAGAGATAAGGAAAAAGTAAGTAAGTTCAGATTCATTTTTGTTTTGTTTTGTTCTTCTGGACCTGGGGTACACTAGCACTGCATCACATCCTGATGAACCTTTCCTTTGTTTTGAGGTCTCCTCCCTTAGGTTAGTATAGATACTTTCATGATCTCCACTTACGAATTATAATAGCTTGTTTTAGTACATACAACATTTACTTACTGACTTTTTTATACTAATGCTCTACAAAACAGTGTGAGAATTTCTGCTAGGGATACATGGTGGCACACCAGAAGTCAAAAATACACATCTCTATGAAAGTGGAAGATAGTGGGGGCTGGAGAGATGGCCCAGCGGTTAAGAACACTGGTTGTGTTCTTGCAGAAGACCCGGGTTCGAATCCCAGCATCCACATGGCAGCTAACAACTGTCCATAACTCCAGTGCCTCTTCTGACCTCTGCGGGCATTGCACAGCACGGGTGCACTTAGCTACATGCAGGCAATACACGCATACACATAAAATAAAAATAATAAATTTGAAATTTTTTTTAAAAAGTGGAAGATAGCTACTTCGTTTTTTTGCTTGTTTACAATTCTGTATTGTAGAATTGCTCCAGCTTAACCTCAGACCAGCCATTGTAGAGTATTCTAGGTACAGCATTCATCTCACTTGGTTTTTATATTCAGTGACATTAAGAGTTCCCAAATTTAGTGACAGTCTATCTAAAATGCTATAAATGGGTCTGCATTGTTCGTGGTGTGTAGGAATGGACGGCCAGTAGTGTCACATGACAGCACTGTATTGTGAATGCAAGTCCCTTTTCCCCTTCTTACCTCAAATGAAAAGTTGTTAAGATTACCTGTAACATTTAAAAAAAAAAAAAAAACCAGATAGGTAGGTTAATATATTAAGTGGAATATATTCAGTGAATGTTTGTTTCGCCAGTATTGGAAATGCTAGGCCATTAAACAAAAATGGCAGCTTAAGTTGGACAAATTTGATGAATGCATTAGCATACTTCAGTCTAGTAATGAGGTTCTCATGCTCTCTCTCTCCTGTTTTTCATTTCCAGTGTTCTATTTAGGTGAGTTTTTGAATTCTGATTTTTCATTTAAGTTCTTTCTCCACTTCATGAATAATTATCCCAAAGAGAATGTCTCATTGTCTTAGAATATGTCAAGCTCAGGTGCTATCCAGACGCTCATTGAACTTGTTTACTCCAGCTCTTCACATGTAAATGTTTATTTTCCTTTACTGTTGGTGTTTCCATTTGTTTCAAGTAAGCCTTCTGGAGATGATGACAGTATTGTGTTGCAGTCTTTCATTTGCTGTGTGTTATGTAAAGCTTCTATTTTATTTTGCTAGACAAAAAGAAGATGCATTTTTAAATATGTGATGGTTTTATGTTATTCTCATGGTTTTAGTTCCTCTGTCCAGCTAGGTAGAATGGTAACATTCATCTGTAATGTTTCCCTCCCTCATAGGGCCAACATTGCCTAGACAGAATTCACAGCTACCTGCTCAAGTTCAAAATGGCCCATCCCAAGAAGAATTGGAAATCCAGAGAAGGTAAACACATACGCTTGTACTTTTCTTTTGCAGCAGACCAAAAATAGTTATGGACTTTCACTCCTTTGAAACTGCAATATGCATTCTTAGTAATTAGTAAATTTTGAAGTCATGATTAACAAGATTAACAAATGACTTGTTAGGCTTGACACAAGGTTAAATTTCCTATTCACCTTTTTTTTTTTTTTTTTTTTTTTTTATAAAAAGCATACTTGGGGCTGGAGAAATGGCTCAGCAGTTAAGAACACTGGTTGTTCTTGCAGAAGACCCGGGTTTGTATCCCATCACCTACATGGCAGCTAACAACTGTCTGTAACTCCAGTCCCAGGGGATCCTACAGCCTCTTCTGACCTCCACGTGCATTGCACAACACCTACATGCAGGCAATACATGCATACACGTAAAAATAATAAATAAAATTTTTTTAAAAAAGCATACTTGTGGTACATCTAAAACATTAAATAGCATATAAAATATCTGCGTTCTTCAGAAAACCTTTTTCTTTTTTCCATGTGTATGTGTGTATACACATGTACACACCTGTTTATGCATGTTTAGGCCTGAGGTCAACATCAGGTATTTTCAATTGTTCTCCACTTTAGTTTTTGAAACAGTGTCTCTTTGAACCTGGAACTCTTTAATTCCACTAAACTGGTCAGCAAGCTCCAGGGGTCCTCCCATCACCTCATCACCAGGATCACAGGTGTGCACTGTGCCCAGCCTTTTACATGGGTACTAAGGGTCCAGCTCAGGTCCTCATGCCTGCACATCAAGCACTTCACCAGTTGAGCCATTCCCCAACCCCACTGAGTCTTATTTTCTGATACCTGTGACCAGCATGGCTCCTACATGACCACTTTAACTAGAAAGTCATAGTAGTGTTGGCTAAATTTATAAGGTACTGATTTTGAAGTATTATAGGTTTTAATAGAAGAATACAAAATAATCTTGTTTTGACTCATGCTGGTTGAACAAGATTAGTAGCTTCTCCATCATTTTCAATATGGTTTTGGATGCTTGAAATTATAATACAGCCTAATGTTTAGGGGTAGATTTTTCTGAATTAGAAGTTTGAATTATAAAGCTACTTAGTAACAAAATTATTTTCTTTTTGTTGGTATTGTTTTGTTTTTGGTCATTTTGAGACACAGTCTCACTGTAGACTGGGCTGGCCTAGAACTAGCTATGTGGATGGGGCTGGCCTCAGACTCAGAGATCTACCTCCAAGTGCTGGCACAAAATTGTTTTATAAATCTCAAATACATTAAGGAGCTAAAATTGAGTTAGGCAAACCAGGTATCCTGTTATTAAACAAAATGAAAAAACAATTTAGGAGAGACTGCCATTGCTTTTTATAACTACTAAATCATCCCTGTTTTATTCTGAGGATTTATTAACCATTGTTAGATATTAAATAAGCCAGTGTATTAATGGAATTTTCTAATAGAGAAACATTTGTTCCATGGCAAATCAGCATTTTTTATGGTGACATTTGATCTGTGTTTCATATTGGAAAATATTTTTTCATTTTCCCTAAGTTATCTCAATATGTCCTTGTTCCCTGATAGGCTGCTTAGAGTGTAATTACTTGGCTCTTGAGGAAGTACCCTAAAGACTTCCCCACAAATGAATTTTATTTCATATGGGACATACACTTATGTATGTGTGTACATGCACATACACAGATATTCTCTCTCTGTCTCCCACCCCTTCTCAATCATACCATTTAGCATAGCCTGCAGGGTGAAAATGTGTTCAACTCTTTTGAATGATGCTGTAATTGATACAAATAAAACTTGTTTCTATAGAAATGAGTTTAAAGAATATAAAATACAGCTCCAATTTGAGAGTTTAAGAAACACCAGAATAGGGGCTGGAGAGATGCCTCAGCAGTTAAGAGCACTGACAGCTCTTGCAGAGTACCTGGATTTGGTTCCCAGCACCCATATGGCAGTTAACAAACATCAGTAACTCCAATTCCAGGGGATTTGATGCCCTTTTTTGCTCTCCAGGGATAATGCATGCACATGGTGCACTTATATACATGCAGGCAAACCACTCATACACATAAAATTAAATTTAAAAAATATGTATCAGAATAATTCCAAAAGTAGAAAATGGTGATGCTCTTGTATGTACAGTAAAGTAGAAAAGTAATTTTTAAAGTGTGTTATTATTGAGGGTGATAAGTTGTAAGTAGCCAGGAGAGAACGTACATAATAATCTCTAGTTATATAAAATGATCCATTGAGTAAGTCCTGAGTTGGTTGCCAGAGGGCATGGCAATAAAAAATAGAAATAGAAGCCGGGCGTGGTGGCACATGCCTATAGTCCCGGCACTTGGGAGGCAGAGGCAGGCGGATCTCTGAGTTCAAGGCCAGCCTGGTCTACATAGTGAGTTCCAGGACAGCTGGGGCTACAGAGAGACCCTGCTTCAAAAAAACGGGGAAAAAAAAAAAAAAAAGAAAAGAAAATAGAAATATCTAAGGTTACTGCTGGCTTAAGGGTCACAGGGTGGTGCATATAAGGTTGGAATTTTAGTTCACAATTAGTGTGGAGTGGTTTTACTAATTGTTATGAAAACCCTATGCCTGCTACAGATCACCTTCAATCATTACTCACCCTAGCAGTCCTCTGAGCTTGATTTTTGTTTGTTCATTTATATGTAAGATGATAGTTCTAAAGTCTTTGAAAACGGTTTATTTATAATTAAGGATGCAGGCCTGGTGAGGTGGCACACACCTTTAATCCCAGCACTCAGGAGACAGAGACAGGCAGATCTCTGTGAATGCAAGGCCAGCATTGTCTACATAGTGAGTTCCAGGCCACCTGGAGCTACAGAGAGACACTGTCTCAAAAAGACCAAAAAATAAAAATAAATAAAAATTAAGGCTATTAACTACACTACTCATTGAGTAATCAACTTTACCTTGGTCATCTGGAAAAGTAAAATACAAATTTCTAAAAAAATTTTAGTTGTTTTTGTTTCTTCTATCCATAAGCATGTATATAAATCTTACTTTGTTTTTGAGTCAGGGTCTCCATGTAGCCTGGAACTTGTTAGGTAGACCAGACTAGGCTTGATCTCACAGAGATCCACTTGCCTCTGCCTCCCAGGTACTGGGATCAAAGGTGTCCACCACCATGCCTGGCAGAATCTTTTAGATAAGCCTTCCCTAAGATACCAATCAATTTCTTTCACCCATTCCTTCTCTTTAGCCTATTTCCTTTTCATGCCTGCCTGCCTGTAACAGGGCCTTAGCTGTGTAACCCAGGCTGTCATTGAATTTGCTATGTAGCACAGCCTCATCTAGAACTGGAGATCCTCTTAACCTCGCTTCCTGAGTGCTGGGATTGTAGGCATGAACCACCATCTCTGGCTCTTTCCTGTTTCCTGCTGGATCTTCTGGGTTAATTCCTTGTTACACTTAACTTTTTTCATTTCCTACCTCTTTTTTTGTGCTCTTTGCAGTTTCTTAACCTTTTATTCTAGATTAGCACTATTTAGTAGATCCATATATGTAATTAAATTTTATATAGTAGCCAAATTTAATAAAAATAAAAACATACAAGTGTAATCTGTTAGCTCAAAAACACTGCCAGTTCAACATGAAATGTGAAATCTTTGGGACAATTTACATTCTAATTTTCTTACCAAATTCAGTGTACATTTTATGCTTCAAAGCACATTTCTTTAAATGTGTTAATGTTAATTTCTGTTAAGTCCTAGTGCTTAGTAGCCATCTGTGGACAGCACTGAAATCCCTAACTGAAAATTTAAGTTTCATCTCTTAAGATTTTCCCTTTGTGTTTTTGCTCCTTATTCATAATAGTCTAGTACATTTATAGCTGCACCTTCCATGTCTCATTCCTTTTCCTTTGCTTGAATTACCTCCCTCCTAAAACGTTGTGTGGTTATATGTGTCTCACCGGTTGCCCTTACATATTGGGCACTCTTCAGTGTAAAAAGGTTTAAGTTGAGTGAGTATGGATACCTCTACTGCCCCATTCAGTTCCTTTCAGGTGCTGATCTAAGTGCTTGGACCATACTGGAGTGTCTGGGAGGGGGCTAAGAAAGCCTTAGCCTGAACAGATGGTAAACATGACAACAGTCCAGGAGGAGATGATGCATGGTATAGGGAAATAGACTAAAGGGACTGTTATGTTGTAGAAAGACAAGGGGAGGTATTTGTTGTAGTTATTTGTGTGTAAATATATGGGGAGTGCACCTGTGTGTGCACGCAGCTACGTAGACATTTGTGGATGTTAGAGGACAACATTAAGTGTTTTCCTCAATCACTCCACCTTATTTTTTTTTGAAACAGGGTCTTTCCCTGAACTCAACAGTTCATTTTGACTGGTTAGCAAACCCCAGGGAAACTCTGAAATTACATACTAGTACTGATGATGCACCTGACTTTATTAAATTGGTACTAGGGGTCAGAACTCAAGTCCTTAAGATTTGCTCATCAAGCACAACTGAATCATTTCCCAGTCCCTAAAGTTTTTTAAGGGTTGGGCCAGCAGCGTAGATCTTACAGAGATGAAAGAAGAGACAGAATTAGCCAAGCAGCCATCTCTGTAAATGTATTCCATGTGGAGGACAGTCAGTGTAGTGGCCTGAAGGTAGAATTGTGCTTATTTGTACAAGGGGAACCAAGAAAGCTATAGAACCTGGAGCAGAGGTGGGAGTATTAGGAGATAAGATTATAAAAGTATAGAGGGACTTCTCATGGAGGACCTTGCACGCTATTATACAGAGTTGTTTTATATTGAGAGAAACTAGTAGTAAGTAGACAGTTTTGAGCACAGGAATGATCTAACAGCATTTTAGCAGAATCAGATGATAGTTGGAGTTTGGTGCAGGGTTGTAACAGCAACTCATCGAAAAAGTTAAGAGACTGCTGCTGCTGTAAACTAGGCAAGAAATGCAGCGGCTTCTACCAGTACTAGAGAAGTGAGAGTACAGGGTGTCCTGGTGGATTGTGTGGGGAGAGAGG